TTTATATGTATGTATATAATACTTTTATATTTTTATTAGGTTATTCAATTATCTGTAATATTGTAATAAGAACGTAATTTTTAGTAGAAATAAAAATTGGTTTCTCTTACTTATTGCCAAATAGCACATATTCGTTTCATAAACATTTCCTCGACGTATGTGAATACATTGGATATGTTTAGAAAACGTATATGAAACAAACATGTGCTAACTGAGTTGCATTTTCACAAATAATTCTTTCTTTCTTCTAACTTTCTTTTAATTTTTCATGAAAATTTTACACCGCTTTAGTACGACTAACTACAATAGTTGTTATATTATATTTATTCTTACTATTATAGTCAATAGTAATTAATAACTATATTAAAAGTAAAAAAATACATTATACTATTCAACAAATATTTTACAATTTGAATCGTTACAGCATCTATTATATGGCGCATGTTATATCATATAATATCTGATATGAAGTTTTGGACTAGTCTCAACATGTATAAAAACATACAGTGAGTAATATCTTTTTATATCTTTAAACAATGATAATAATAATGAAATAAAAAATTTGAACAGTAAAGCAAATGACATGCTTCAACATCTACTGTTCAAAACTAGGAACTAACCGTTTTAAACTTATCGGCTACTTTTAGTTACTCTTTATGTAAAGAATTTTAAACAACATATTGAGGAATTATTATTTATAGTAAATGATGTAATAATTTTATAAATGATAAGAAAAATTTTTGCAATGTTATTTTTCAGGCATAATCAGACAAACGCGACAGATACTGAGAATTTATCTACTATCGTATCATTTTGGAACGCTGTGGAAAGTGTTTTAGGTACAACAAGTAATATATGTAACTTTAATATAGAAGATGTAATCGATATTTGGTCAATGCAAGGACATTATCCTGTACTGTACGTGACACAAAATTATTTTACTAACTTAGTATCAATCACATATATTAATTCTAAACATATACAATTTCCTAATATGAAACAATATAAATTATACGTGGTATATACGATACGACGAAATCACTCATGAACATCGAGACACATTACTTTTGGCTATCTACACTAACACCGTACCATTATATATCGCACAAGATTGACATTAATGATTGGATCATTCTCAATTTACAACAAGGTAAATATTAAACAGTATTTTTATTATTCTGCTGACTTTATTTTCTATAATTGATTCTTCATTATTCCATGTTCAATCATTAGAAATATGTTATTTATTTAATATATTAATATATGTACAATACAATTCAAATATATACACTACTCGCAACAATTAAGTGATCAAGAAAAATTGCTAAAGAAACCAATCTTCAAATTATTGTAACTCCGCGAAAATCATTGTGTTTTAATTTAAGAAAAAGCGTTTGGAAGCTTGAAACTTCTTCTTTCTACTGATCGTTTTAATGGTTGATATATACTGCAAAATTTGTTGTTCCTTTTGCTGAACGCAGGCATTAAATGTATTATATATTGATATACAAATTATGGTAATATTGAATTAATTTTAGTTTTTTTATTAATGTAATAATGTAATTTTTTTAGGTCTTCCTCCGAGACTGAAAGATTGAGCACCGTAGTGAAAATGTTCTCTGAAAAAGGCTCACAGTTGGTCGTGAAGCACACACAATTGTGGAGGATGTTCCTGGGACATATTTTTTACTACAAACAACAATGTAAAATCATACGGATTACACGGCCAATTACATTCGCTTCTAATATATACGAACTCGTGACTCGTGTTTCAATGTTATCATACGGATTACACGGCCAATTACATTCGCTTCTAATATATACGAACTCGTGACTCGTGTTTCAATGTTATTTTTATAGAAAATAGTACGCAAATGACTGTTGCGTGGTTTGCTCGCAAGTTTTCATTACTCAGACTTCATCATTCTTTTAAATTGCTAAAACACGTTCTAATTTTTTGATATATTTTTGTTTGTCTAATGTTTAAAGGTAAGTAAAGTGCGAATAATTATTTTTCCAAGTATTAGTTTACATTTCAAAATTACAAGACAGATACTGAAACTCTTACGCGATATGTCATACAAATGTCATATGCTGGAGAGCATCTGCGAGAGAAATCACCGATGCTCAAAATCGAGTTCTATAATATAACGTAGTCATGGTAAAAAGGTATTATAATTCTAAAGGAAATATGCAGGGCCAATATCAAATGATGAAGTGTAAATGCTAAAACCACAGTCATACAGCCATTTGTCATTTTGTATTTTTCATGAAGATGCTTGAACTTAAATCACACAAGTTTGTATTGATCATAACTGCAGTCTGATAAATCAACGAATGATTAAGAAAATATTATAATATCGTAATATATCATAATTATAGCGTTAATCGATGTAAGTAAGCGATCATTCTGTGCAAATGGTTAACGGAAAACCGATCTATATAAGCTAGCCAATTTCGATCAAAGGAATAGTAACATATATTTAAAAAATTATAAATAACACAATAATTATGATAATGCGAGTCACAGCAAATTACATTCTTATCGATAATGGTGTTGGTTCTTGCTGAGAATAAAAAAAAATGTCCACAAGTTCTCGCGGACATTGAGCAAGTATTACTCAGACTTCATCATTCTTTTAAATTGCTAAAACACGTTCTAATTTTTTGATATATTTTTGTTTGTCTAATGTTTAAAGGTAAATAAAGTGCGAATAATTATTTTTCTAAGTATGTTTACATTTCAAAATTACAAGACAGATACTGAAACTCTTACGCGATATGTCATACAAATGTCATATGCTGGAGAGCATCTGCGAGAGAAATCACCAATGCTCAAAATCGAGTTCTATAATGTAACGTAGAAATGTTTTACAATTATTTATTCGCTATTATCATGGTAAAAAGGTATTATGATTCTAAGGAAAATATGCAGGGCCAATATCAAATGATGAAGTGTAAATGCTAAAACCACAGTCATACAGCCATTTGTCATTTTGTATTTTTACTAAAGATGCTTGAACTTAAATCACACAAGTTTGTATCGATCATAACTGCAGTCTGATAAATCAACGAATGATTAAGAGAATATTATATGGTGTACAAATTAGTTCGGTCCGTTTTCCAAAAGATAACTCTAACTGTTGTGAATGGTTCATAGTGACAGCTGATTTTGGCGGTTTCAGAGAGGTTAGACATCTGCTAATAATATTCAGTTTATATCGCTTTGAGTTTCATACAAAAACCTTGATTTTTACTGTGTTCGAAATGTCGAATTTTGTGCTAACCAAGTAGCATTTGCGGGAGGTTTTAATTTCTGCTTTAATTGGAAGAAAGTGCAGCTGAAGCCATCGAATGCTTGTCGAAGTTTATGGTGACACTGCTGCACTGAT